TTAAGGGATTTTTATCGAATGATTTAATTTAATTAAGTTAATTAACAACCACAGTACTTGATAATTTACTATAAGAATTCGGATGACACTAGTTAAAATTAAATAAGAATAATAAAATTTCTTTCATAATATTGAAAATTCTATACAATAATGTATCAAGTTGTGTTACTAAGGTGCCCAAAAAATGGGAACCTAGGAGTAGGTCTAGGAACATAAAAAAGGGAAGAGAAATTTTTCCATTACCATTACGATATATAATTGCAAACCGACGGGTGGATTAATTTAACAGGAAAAGAGGTGCTTTTAATGACGTTGGATGGATTTCACCTTAGAATATTGTTATTCGTCATTAATAGATATCATCATTGATATTCTTGAGACCATCCTTGAATTTCTAGTTGTCAATCAATTTACATAATGTATATACATAAATATCCTATCCCTCTCGTGTATAGGTCAGAGAGCAAAACTAGAATCTGTCATTTTGATTAATTGAGGGGTAAGGTGGTAAAGAAGTTATATGTATTTGGATTAATTTCTTATATAGTAGATTATATAAATTTTCCTCAGTCTCTAATTTTTCTTTCATTTTGAAGTTTTTTAAATAAAATATTTATTGTTTTTCTCCATATATATACATAATTATAAATATCTTATCCCTCTCGTAAGATATTCGGAGTACAAGATCATGTAATAAAACAAAGTTGACCTAACAAAAATTAAAAGCTTCAATTTGCTTTTAAGATGTTAGAATGTTTTTTTTTTCCTGGATTGTTACCAAAAACATGTCATAATTGAAAATGTATCAACTTTGAAAATGGAAGAAAATTAATTTGGATAAATAATTGTAAATGTATCAATTTTTAAGATGAAATAATTGATTTTCCTTTTCTTCAAATTGAAAGGAATATCTCACCGAACCCATGCATTATTTCATCATGGAGACATGCATGGAAACCTCACTAGTAAAAGTTATTGATTACATCAATTTTTTTAATCATTTTTATCCATCAAGCATTAAAGTACAATAAATGTTAAAGTGGTTAGAATTCAATAAGAGAGAGAAAGAGAGGAATCACATGAGATTGGGAACTGTTCGAAATTCAAAAAAAAAATAAGAAAAATTTTTGGGTTTGTGTTTAATATTATTTTATTAAAAAATGTGTGATTCAAAAGAAAGAGGGAAAAATATTGTTTAGAAAAAATGGGGATCAAACAAAGGTTTATGGTACTTAAATACTTCAATAACTTTTACTAATGAGGTTTCCATGCATGTCTCCAAGCTACGGCTAGAGATCAATCGATAAATTGAGGTATTTCTATAAAAAAAAGTACTCTATGCTATGAATGATTTTACTGACCCATACATTTCTAAGTTTTTGTGACGTTTTTCAACCACAGCTTTTATTATATTTTGCAATGTTCTTTAATTGTTGCTTTATTACCTATTTAATAGGTGATCATAGAAATTGATTGTAGGTCTCTATATCTCTCCTCTCACTTAAATTCTCTCTTAAAAGAGTGAATCCCTTAAATACTGTTCATTCATGAGTCCTCGTTTTCACACGTGAACTAGGTTTTCCCTCTCTCTTAAAAGAGTGAATCCCCTTAATCATAGTTCTAAAACTCGGCCCCGAAAATTGGAGACCAGGCCCTCGACTGGGCCAAGTAGAATAATTTGACTCAAGTGCAAATGACTCTATCAAAAATCGAGTTAATCGACGATTTTTAAATTAAACAGCCTGCCCACACTGCCCGATTGACTTGTTTGACCATATTTCAAAAGTTCTCT